TAGGGTGGGAATAGGGTGATAACTGTTTATGGCTCAGGCCAGTGAGAACTATCCATATAGCCGGTCGTTCTTCGAATACAAAGACGTAACCTGAGCCTTTTCAGAGAAATAGTTCACCATATTTCCTCATACTAAAGTCAAATGCCTTCCTAAAAGCCCTGCCTATTGTAGCGGCATGGAAACCACCCCGGAAGGTTCTTCCTACGAGCTGAGAAGGAGGCTATATGAGCTTGATACAAGAATGATATCTCTTAGAAAGGCAAGACATTATCTTGGGATCACTCCTTTGATTCCCTTCTGATAAAATATAGGTCTATCGTAAAGTGACCTTCAGTCCTCATACCCCGAACCCTATGGATCCCAGTGATTATTTGGAAAAAAGGGGACCGGGACTACGGTGCTAAATGCACTACAAGCTTATCTCGGATAGCTAGATTGTATTTCCAGAAGTATTTGACATATTGGCCTGATACCCTAAGAGATAATGAACCAAGACCAGCATTTCATTAGCCAAGGTATACCACTAGAAACAAGAAAGTTGTGAAAGACGGGACTAAGTGATCAGAATGACCAGCCCTCGCTCGTCACTTCTGCAAAACTCATTTTTGAATGGGCTGAAGAAATCATAGTTAACAAAAGATCTATATGAAGGTTGAGAGCTTACTCATTGTCGCCTTAGGGAGAAAACCAGTACCTGCTGTACCAATACTAATCTTTGATTGGGTCGGAGTGAAGATTTGACATATGGTTGAAGTGAAGGGGCTAGGTGTAAGAGTTGGGTAGAGATATGACAAATCCGGGAGTAAAGGCGGGATGTGTGTTTCCTCGACTACGAGTGTGTCAGTCAAGGTGACTACATGGACTTTGCCGGTGTCTGGCTCGTCTCTAGCCGTCGTGATCGTCTCGGTTACAACAGCTGTGGACAGAACGAACATGGACATATGCACCCTTGTGGCGCTTGGGTATAACTGTGAAGTGGCACTGTTGCAAGCAAAGTTTAGTGGACCAATGTCGAGGTCAGCATCTGACTGGCTACCAGCGGTCAGTGTACGAATGCATTGAGTGGTACCGGGAAGCTAACTAGTTCTAGACCAGAACATGCGATTGGCTTGAAGTTATATGCAATAGTGAGAAAGTCTGGGTTCTCAAAATAGAGAGATGCAGTACATGGTACCACATGAGGGTTCGTTATCTTGCAGAGTTAGATCATATGTTCGAGATCGAATGGGACATAGATTTACTTCATAGTTACTGGGGAGATTCCTGCTTCTAATTCAACAGGATTATAGAGACACGCAGTGGCGAAGTTTGCCATAGCCATGGTTGAATGCATCAGAAAGCTCACCTGGCCGAGGAAGATGAGGTATTTCATTTTCGAAAGGCATTGGATTATCTGGCTAAGGCTCTTGATATACCATAACAAATACTTGTAAGCAAAGCCGTGTTTCAGAGAACAAAAACCGGGAGCCTAAAACAATGCACGGAATCCAGGTGACGCTTATTCGGCTTTCACAAATCAGGTTCTTCCTTACTGCAAATTTCCGCACCTACAAGTCCATAAGTGCAAAATGCAGCGTGCACTGCGCATAGATGCCGCTGCTCAAACATATAAGTTAAGACATTTCTCGTGTTCAAAGTCATCTACCCCCTCGAAGCTAATCGCTTCCATCCCAAACCACTTTAAAATGGACTAAGGATTCTCTGCAAGCCCTCGCTTGAGCTTTGCCGAAACGCAGGCTTTTGTGGACTTTTTGAACCAAACCATGAACCCTGCTCCTCTTCCCGTGCAGAACCAACTCTATCTCCGCCCATTGCTAGAGCAGCATCATGGTTACAACACCTCTCCTTTGACTGACCTTGGTGCATCATCGTTGCCCATGGGAATGACAGACACGGAGTAGCGTAGTGGGTGCAAGGTTGAGGTGGCAATCATGTGATGCAAGAAGCATGTATATACTCGATGAAGGCTAGACCGCATGGCAGGCCCATTAGGCTGGACCCGCCCGTCTGTATTGAACCACTTTGGATTGACTTATCGCATTCCCTTTGAACCTCGCGTATTAATTCCTGTTACATCTAACGCTATGAGATGCTTCGAAAGTCACTCAACTATGGTAACAGTAGATGGAAAGAACTCAATGTGATAAGAAGCTCTCACAAGTCACATGCAAGACAAAAAATCGTCAGCGATACGTCAGGCCGAGGACAGATGGTGTGAACCACCCGAGCTAGGCAAGCGCTATAAAGTTACCAGACACTCGGTAACCAATCAATTGCAGCTATGTACCTATTTTGACGGACTTTCAAAAAGACCCTGATAGTGATGAGTGATGCATTGTCGAGTTGTGAACGCGGTTTGTTTGTCAATAAGCTCAGGCTTGCAACCCGTGCCAGGTCGCTTATCAAGCCGGCGAGAGAATATGGCCAGTCTTTGATCCCTTCCAAGCGCATCGCCCCCCCAGGTGACCGCCCAGGTAACCCTTTATGGCGGCTGGCGATTCAGGCAACGGGCCCATAGCGTATTTCCAGAATTATTCATGTTTTTCCTCTTTAACACCCTAAGCTTCTATTGGGCTGCCAAGTATTTAGAACGGCTTCGGCAGGGAAGGAAGCTCGGGATCAACAGCATGGCCATCTCTACTTAGGCATTGGACTAGCGCAGCAACTAACCATCGCAAACGACCAGCCTTTGGACGTCTCTATGTGCTTGGCAGCGAATTCAATGCCTGTTAGGACTGGTTCGACTTTCCATGTGGCAGCGGGTCCGATAGACAAACCGTGTTCGTGCGAAGCACTTGAGTTTACGGTCAAAGCAACGCTTTCTATTCCAAGGCGAGATTTCCCCATTTCACGAAACCTCAAATCGTACCAATAGCAAGAATGTATGAGCCCAGCAAGGATAGGACGATGTTTAACATGGAAGTGTGGATCGAACATGACCAGGAACACACACGAGATAGTTAGTCTTGACATGAGGCCCTGTTTACAAACAGTTGAAGCAAGCTTAGGTACAAAATCAGATAGGGCGCTCTCCGGTCCACAATAGGTTGATCGATCTTCAGGCGACGAGCATGTAGGACCTGCATCGTAATTGCAACACGTGGTGATCGGCAGGCACGTCTGCTCCTCTGATAAATGCGAGACACTTCTCCTGCGGTAGGTCCGTAGGTGACGGGTCACTTACAGTACCAGGTCAGGGCCCACACAAGCCCTCAGCAGCATGCGACAGTAAAATGAATTGGACGATCATCAGGCAATATAACAGGCACAGGAGCATAATGTATATATATCGCCAATCAAATCTTTATTTAATTCCCACAACGCTACGAAAGTCTTTGTTCTTCAATACCTGTCCTTCGGCTCTGAACGATGATATCAGCCCATCCTAGTAGATTCAAATAATGGATACAAGGAACCATGCCCGCCGTCTTGACGCGAAGAGTTGAGCCGCTCCCAACACCAAGCTAGCCACTAGCTAATGGACTCTGTGTTAGCATCGACACCTTGTTGCCTGACCACCATACCAACAAGCTCCACTCAGTCGCTTCTGCAGCCTCGACTGGATCTCGTCTCTATCTTCTTATGCCCGGCTCGCTAAAAGGTGGTTGATCTGCGAGTAGCCCGAGTCCTCACCGCCTGCTTGTGGCGTGTATGACAAGCATGTGAATCAAGAAACTTGGCCCTCCAGTTAAAAAGCGACCATAAAAACACAGCGCACAGCCCAATCAATTAACACTATTTGCTGTACCTTGCCGCAGACACCACGATAACTATAGTGTTGTGGTGTATAATTACCGGTTTGTTCATGACACCTGAGGGACCACACACGCAACTTTACGCTCTAGAATGAATAGGCCCCTGTTTGAAGTATCGTGCCATCTACACTTCGTATGGCGGAGTGGATGGGTCAGCCAACTCTACTGAACACGTAAGCGCAGCCACAGTCCTTTTTGCTCTGTGCTACACCCCCGTTTACCACGCGGGGAATAGAAACACGCGAGCCGCGAAGTACTCGCGGTATTGTAAAGTGGGCGCCAAAAACATTGGTTGAGCTAATTCATGGGGCTAGTACCTCCAGCCACCCCTACCAACTTTTGCTTATAATGGTCCATTATTCGTCGGCCATAGATTACTAAAAATGGGAGGTTTGCGTTTCTTTCCTTTGCACTTACACTGCGGACTGGCGTTTGAACCACTTGCTCGAACCAATCCCTCGAAACATCCTTGTGTACAGTTTCAGTGGCGAGTAATCCTAGGAAAAACACTGGTAATAGGGGTGCTTCAGCTGTGAAGTGAGATCCCGATGTAGGCATGATTCGTATGCAACGGGCAAGATCGTCAAGATTGGCAAGAACTTCCGGGTGATTTCGAGGCAGCCTAATGGAAGGTTCAGTCAGCGAGCGCTCTTGCCGTTATGATTGCCAACGCATTAAGGTAGGTAGAGTGACATGGAAGGCAGGCATTGCTTCAGTGTTGAACCGGTCGAGGGGAAAGGAGTGAGTTGAGCTGTTGCAAAATCAACGCCCATTATCCCAATGGATCTCCAACTTCCTTCAGCTTGTCCACTTCTCTCCCTCCTAGGACCTTTTCTTCCCCTGCATCGCATGTTCGTACCTCAGAAGACGACATTGATAATAAATAATTGCGGCGATCCTCCCCGCCTCAGCTGTAACCTCGGTCATGATTTGGTTGGAATCGATTATCACTTCGTCGGCTTTGTCGCGCACCCAGTCTATTGTTGGTGGGCAGTGCAGGGCTGCCGTCAGATCAATCAAATCAGATTTGGACCCAAATCTGATCTGAACTGATAATTCACCATTCGAATCTGATCTAATCTGATTGATTGATTGATATCTGATAAGTAGCAGCTCACGTAAAGCTTCCCTCGGGTTCTAACTGGCATTGCTACTCCAGCACAGGCCTCCTAGAGTAACATACCCTCCTCTGACCCAGTTCTCCAATAGCTGGATCGACTCGATGCTGAATCCAAGTAAATAGTGTCACTGTGAGCTTACTATAAGCTTCGCAAGACTAAATGCCCTCTCGCAGTCGGTTGACATAGCCGGAATAGCAAGAACATCCAGCGCAAACCTACTCAAGCGCGGGAAAGCATTGCCATGGCCAATCCACCAACGAACGGGGTCATCTAACTGCTCCGGCTCAAGCCTGTAGTATCGTTCAAGTTCACTGCCTGTTGCCGAGAGCTTGGGTTGCCGGCTTTTTATCCACTGGTCAAACCTACTTTGCTCAGGTCTTGGCGTCAACGGGGGCGTGACGAAGATATTCTCAGAAATATCATTGTCATGCTTCGAATAACAGCGCTCAAAATAGACCTTGATGCCATCCTTTGCATCTCGAAGCCATTGTAGCTGTTCTGGAGAAGTCCAATTGGCCTCCAGCCATCGGAGTCCAAGGTCCGAATTCAGAACAACAGAAGTTGCAAACAGAGGCGACCGTCCGAGAAGAGTGCAGTAGTTGTTCATTTTGATCCAGACATTATTTATACTTGCCCTGATGCTAGCGCGCTCCTGGCCCTCCATACTGGCAATATTACTCACTGAACGAGGATCGTCCCACAGGTAGTCTTCTCGAGAATGTTCAGGAAGCGCATCTTCGTTAAACTGTGAGCTGGCCGCTTGGCGAGTTGGAAGAGCCGTTTCGCGACGGCGGCGCAATGGTGTGATTTCATATCCTTGAAGTCGTGATGGTAATCGTGACTGTCGCGAGGGTCGTCATTTCTCCGACTGTCGGTGACCGCAAAAGTGTTGATGTCGCACCCGTGGCCGGTCCAGCTTCCTCCCCCTGGGCTATATATCTTCTTTCTGCAGCCGTATCAGCAGTTTCATTCTCGTAGAGAGTCTTCCAGTTTTCGAGATGCTCTAGCACATTCCCGTCATGACTTCCCAGAGCTGGCCGTGACCCCTGCTTGTACCCCACCACTGTGTTCTCATCGTCATATTGAAGATCGGCTCCAAGATATGACTGACTTCCCTGAGGACCTTCCAATCATCGGACGTCAGAATGTCAGCCGTTGGGACCCTCTATGAGGCGTCTGCTTCCAACCCTAACTCCTGAATGAAGCTGTTGGGCTCGGACGGCTTGACCAAGGCACGCTCAATCATCATAAACGTCGAGTTCCATCTCGTAGCGTTGTTCTGTATGACTTCAAGCTCGGCGGTTGATTCTTCTGTAAGCTTGTATGTGTCTACCTCCTCCTGCTCCTTAGCATGTGCTTTGAATGCTTCGGAACGTTGCGGAGAGGCTCGGATGAACTTAACTATGTTGTGGAGCTTCCCAACCGGACTCTTGACTCGCCAGTGTTCGAGTTCTTCTTCAGTTCGCTCTAACATGCCATAAGCCTCAGACTGAAGTTCGAAAGAAGCTGCATCATCGCATCCTTCGTGCTTCCGTATCCGCTCGAGCCGTCGAGGCATCAAGAGTTGTGTAGAGGCTTCACATATCGAGACTCCGAGCTTAAAATCGATGCCCTAATCACGGACGACATTCCTTAGAGTGTAAGCGATGTTCTCGCCGGCGTGAGATCCGATCTGCCTCTTGAAAGCAAGCAGTCGGCTTTGTTTCAAGTGTCTCCGATCGATATAGTGACCAAATATGGAAATAAAAGCCAATCAGTTTGGAGAGGTCCAGAGTTCGAAGCTAAGTGTATTTGGGTAACAGCATTATTGAGTTCTTCCTTGACAGCCGCTCTCTTGGAAACGAGTACGTCCTCTAGATCTGTCTTGGTCGCAGTTAGACCCCAGGGCACCCGAGCATAAAGATCAGAGTCCAGCTGACGGAACAGCTCCTGTAGATAGGTACTCTCGAAGGTAGTGAAGGGAAGATGAGACTCAACGATTTAACCGACAGAGAGCTCTCTAATCCGTGCCATCTTCGCTCGAGGAAGAAGGAAGGAGGAAGAAGCCGGTCGTTTCTTGGATGCATTTCTCTGAAGATCGAGAACTGAAGAGTCACCGGGTGGATTTGCTTCAAAGGTCTCGGTGATCATGTGGGCTCTAAAAACTGTTAGTGATAAACTGGAAGTGAGAAGAAGCACGAACTTGAAAAGATGAGCCGATGCCGATGATGTCGACTGAGCATTAAAAAACCGTGGCGTACCCTTGCGGCTTTAAAGACAACACAGCATACACCTCCTGGGAGACTTTCATGCCCCTCAATAGAATAATAAGTAATTTCGCCTATAACTTGTAGTGATGGTGAAATTATAGATCGGCGTACTCTATGAAGTAACCTTCTCATCTCAGGCCTCTAAATCCGACGGTACCACCATCCGAACTTAATTGAGCAGGTCCGCGCTTCTGAGATGGAATAATGATCAGGCAGGGTGTCCTCACGGGCCTTCCAACCGCACCGTATCAAGCCACCTATGGATCTAAAGATGTGATTAACAGACAAACCGGCATAGCGAGGCTATGCATATTGAATTCATAAAAAGATTGCATGATGCGAAGCGAGCGTGCTGCCCATGGGTTGGGACTAAATTAGTAACGTTTTTTATGCCGAAGGAAAGCGAACAGAAATATCATTCAGTTCAACTCTGGTGCATTCACTACTTGACAATGGCAAAAAGTCTCTTTCTTTGGCCTCCTTGACAAACTAGGCTTCTCACCAAGCAGGATAGGAAATTTGTAGAGGGTGACAAAGACGAAGGCACTGAGTATACTAAACACGTCAAATGAAGGCTTTTGGGAAGGAAGATGCAAAGGACGCGGGGCAAAGGAGATTCCTCAGGTGTGAGCCCGAACAGTCTTTGGTCAATAGCACCATATCGGAGGGGAAGACAGGGCATGAGAGGCTTCTATCCGGGAGACCAAAGGCGATTGAAGGAAACCTCATTTCTTCAGGACCTATATTCAGTCCGAGGGAGGCATATAAGCTCATGAGGTATCACGGTCCTGAAGTCTCAATGTCGAGGTATTTCAGTAAAGCGAGAAGTACTACACTTTGCAAGCTGCATCTACATTTCCCTATATATATATATTGATACACTGGTCGTAAGGGCACCAGAGCTGCTCTTTTCTGTCTCGGTCTTCCTTAGGGAGCCATCCATGCAGCACTCCTTACCTGGAATCTCGACCATTGCGTTCCATTCTTCCTCCATGGCATGCGTGACCTCCTAAGAGCCTGTCTGTTTCCCCTGGCTACTAAGAGTCGGGATCAAAAGTCTCAGTTTCGATATTATGAGATTGATCGAGTTGTACGTATCGGCTTCATCGCACCGAGAGCTTTCCGTTGATGAAGTTGTGGATGCTTCGTCCGAGTCAGAGTCTGGGTGGCGCTCAAACTTGGGCTCAGTCGTCCGCTCAGCCTTCGTCGTCAGCAATTTGTCGCCACTTAGCAACTGAGTAGCTACATGAGTTTAGTTTCTCATTCGTGCAAAGTAATTCAGTTGACATTACCGGTTGTGAGAGACGACTTAAGACGGATCAGGATCTCGCTAAGTGAATAGCTATAGGCGCTTTTAGGTGCGAGGCGGGAGTCCAGGGAATTGGGCCGATGTGGGGGGGTGAGCGCACCGACAGTCTCGGCCCATTCATTGAATTGTTTCTGTAGGTCTGCAATACTTATGGCAGTGAAAAGGGACGAGATACAAGATTGGGATTCCACGGTGTTTGCCAGCTCTTTGAAACAGTTTGTACATTGAATATACTGATCATAGATAGTAGTCATTTTGAGAGATGAAAAAAAATAGAATGTTGTGATTTTAGCAGAGGTGCAAGTTCCTCAAAGGGCTGCAGGTCTTCTCGGAGGGTGGTCACCTATATATAAGTAAAAGGCTACTAAATCATACAGCTAGGTCTGCGGGGCTCTTAAAACTGGGGCCTGAGGCAGAATGGCGGTGAACTTCGACAAATTGCTGTGGCTCATAAGTTTGATGGCTGTGTACTTACATCAGCCAACTAACAAGTCATCCCCTGAACGCCCGCTCTACGCAACTCAGGCTTACAGCAGCACAGCTACATCAACAGCGGAGACTGCCTGACAGTGTAAGTAACTACTCGAAGCGGATGGATCGGGCTCTACCAGGTAAACACACCAAAGCACTATACGACAGTTGCAAGAGACGAGAAGCTGGAGTGCTTTCGCAGCTCCGTACGGGAATGGCGAGGATCAATAGCGACCTAAGCAAGATTGGAGCCGCAGATTCGGGCATGTGCGAATGTGGATGTGGACCAGAGACGACGGAGCACCTCATGTTCCGATGCAGTAGATGGGAAGCAGAGCGTCATAGTCATGCGTCAAGTTGGACAAGATATGATCGGTAGCCTTTCCTTCTTCCCGGGGGGAAAGTCGGCGTCGGACGCAGCAAAGTGGAAGATCTAACGTTAACCTAGAGGCGGTGTGAGCGACAGTCAAATTTGCAATGGCAGCGGGTAGATTGAGCCTGGAAGGAATCTGAGAAGGGACTGAACATTAACAACATAATGAATTACTAACAAGAAACAGCCGCGAGTTGACAAACCATGCTTCAGCTGCTAAAGTTAAGATGCTGAACACTTGGAGGTAATATTGGATGGCCTTCAAGTAGGCCTGTCAAACCGAGTCAAGCAAACAAGGCTAAAAAACAAGGGTTGGGAAGAGCAGTAGGGCTTTCTTTCGCATAGAATGGACCTGTTCTCCCGGACGTAATAAACACTACTCCGTAATAAAGACCAGGTATGGTAAGTGATGGGACAACACAAATAAGGTGAGCGAAAATGCTTGCATTTTGTCTAGCAAAAAGATATATTTGAGTGCCAGCGAAAATGTGTGCTAGTACGAGTTTCTTAACTTTACTCCGTAGTTAAGGGGGACATGTCAATCTTCACTAGCGACGACGAAGGAGGAGCCTGGCTAGCCTCGAAAGGTTAACGAAGAATGAGTGGGCAAGGTGTTTAGGCAGCAATGACGGAGGAACAAGGGATACTGAATTGTCGCCAACCAGAACGAGGGACGAAGTGAGGCTGGGTTCCTTATAGAAGTAGATTCCAGCTCGCCCAAGGGCCAGCAAATTCACACTCCATAGAAGCGAGAGAAGGCCCCCCCCCCAAAAAAAAGTGTAGGAACGACAAAACGAACAGCGACCAATACTACGCGAACCACCTCAAGCAGCACAAGCGATGGTCTTGAGGAAAGCAAGCGCGGGAATGCTCTAGAAGGTCTTTGGAGTCCTGCGACTCCCCAGAGACGAATTCGGTAAACGACAGGGTGCGCTACGGAGCATGATCGACGACTAGCAAAAGAGAATCTGATAATTACAACAAAAATAAGAGATGTAGTAGCGCACAAAAGACCAGACGGCGGAAGAATTAAGACGTATATGAGGAATTAGCATGTGTATCCAGACAAATCAGCAGACATTCTATGCCAAAAATTGCCCGAATGCCGCCTGCGAGTCAACCAAGCAACGTCCACACCCTCTTGTCGATAGATTCCACACCATTTCTCTATAGCGATGACCTGCTCTGCAAAACCTGAGCTGCATCAAGGCCGCGTGCCAATATGAGGCTGAGCAGCAGAAAATGGCGAAACTTGTAGCCAGGGCCCGCCCCGGATTGACTATAGGACAGCGTTACCCCTTACTTGGCGAACATCCCATGCGTGTGTCGTGCAAACGCGCATCTCGTTTTCATCGTCATTCACTATCTATGGTCCAGGCTGCTTGCTCCCTGTCCAAGCAACCTAGACTTTCCGTCTCCTTTTCCTCCGTCTTCTCATCCACTCGTTGTTACTTCCAGGAATCTTTGCTTCGTTCCTTCATGCCAACGCAATACCATGCTTCGCGGCGAGGATACCTACAGTCTCCCCAGCTGTCGGCTTTGTCTATGTGATGACTTCTTTTTACACCCCAAAAGCTATTCAATTTCATCACGATTCATTTCTTTCTATTCTTATTGCCTTCAGCCAGATTCCTTTGTGGCCATGTATTCATTCACAATCTATGCATCGTTGCTGGCGATGGCGACAGCAGCAGGCAACAATAAACGCCATGTAGTGTGATACTTCACTTATCTCAAGATGTCGCGTTACTGAGTATGAGGGCCTCCACGCGGTTTCCTCTGACATTATCAATTAACGAAGGGTATCCAATACGTTGTCACCTCGTATTGGGGGACGACAGTGGACAAGTCTGTCCGATCTGTAGGTTTGTTTGGCATCTGTTTTGTTCAGAAACTGTTGCTGTGTGTTCCTGGGCTCCGTTTATACGGGCTGCATCATTGCTCAGCTAAGGTCGCCATCGTCTGTGGATACCTAGTTTTCGTGGCATGCTCTGAGTGCACTGGGCTCGAAACATCATTAAATAGCAAGAACAAAATTGGAGACAAAAGCCGCACACTGCGCGACACGACCTCGCCCACAGGCGGGATATGAGTGCGAAACAACTAGGCTAGACTGGGGGGATGCGTGAGAGTGGATTGCACATAACCAACAGAATTTTGTGAGAATAATCAAGCACCCATGATGTCAGAAGAATCATTACACTAAATAGAAATTTCTGTTTGGCTTTATCTCTCCGGTGTCACGTCTGTTGTCGCTTGGAGTCCTTCTCCAACCGTGGTTCGACGAAAGAAGCCAACGATACGTTAAATTTTCGACCACACTACTTATGACTCGAGGACTCGAAATAGTGCGCTTCTGTAGGCGCTACTACATTATCTACCACCAATATGACGGATATTTTGAGGGCCTTGGCGCCAAAATAGTCGCAGCGATCCCCGCAGATGGCGATGGGTACCATAGTATGCCGTGAACAACAAACCGCACCTCGTGATGCGCTAACTATTTGCAGACCAGAAAGAAATATGCGGCGAGAGAACAGGCGCTTGAAGAATAGGTCTACGAGACTCGCGACGGACTCGAACCTGATCATTCTCAGTATGATGACTTATTCACGCTTCCTTCTGAGCTTCCACGGCTGGGTCACTACGACGCCGAGTACATCTACATCATCAATCTCGACCTCGAGATTCTCACCATGAACAACAGTATCCATTGGAAATTGGGCAATATACTACGAAACAACCTGTGGCTTCGCGCCATTGCGGACAGCATCTACCCGTATAAGCCGACCATCTCCCTCAACGTTTTTCCCGAAGAATATATAGCTTCATCAGCTCTAGAGCTTCCTACGCCGGACAGAATGATAGGATACAATTTTGCCACTGTAGTTCCAAAAAGGGCCATGGAGCAAGCCCCAATTGCGTTTCTCAGGCATGTTCTCGCTGAGACGCTTATCGAACATAAAGACGACATCGTTAGATTTGGCAGAGGATGGAGCCCAGCCTCGTTTCCTTTCCTTCAAGTAGCCTTTACCCTCGTCTCAATCGCGTCCGGCCAGGCTAGCTTCTTTTATTTCCCCGACCAGCCGTTTGACCCTCGTTCTTGCTATTGGGTAGGATGCAACTCTAACCACCTCCACATGTCATCGGGATGGCTCGACCAAGACTGGGCTGGTGATCACGCTTCATTGCTCGAGTTTGGCTCTATGTCTCGTCGACCGGACGAGCTTCCGGGTGTGTCGCACTCGGAGACGATATATTGGCATGAGGATGTGCTTGTTAGCCTCTCACTGATAGTTGACGGCAAAGCTATCACGGAGGCTGTTACCTACGGCGTCGAACAGGGCCGTGTCAACCTTCAGATCGTTGTTTTCTCACTTTTCAAAGCCGCTTTTGCAGAAGCTAAATTTTAAAGCTATTCCTCTGTCGCCTTTGCAGGCAGCGTATTGCGTGAGCACACATCCGCGTGAACGACCAGAGCTCAAGGACAAAATGGAAGTTTAGTGTCGGCGCGAGGAGCTTATTATGAAGTTGCTGCACGCCGCCGCCCAACATCTAAAACGGCAGGCATTCTCCCCCCGGATCTACACAACCGGATCTTGGACTTTGTGGACTACGGTACGTGGAAGAACTAGTCTGTCTTATCACGCGGGGTTCACCGCTACTGCCTCTGCAAGTACAGGCTCGATGATCACACTAGAGCTGTGGCCGGCCTTTTCGTGAGGCTGCAAAGGTATCACAAAAAACGTCTACTGTCCTTCGACTTTGAAAACATGCAAACAGGTAAAATCGAGCCAATGATCGAAGCCCCTCGTTGTTTTCGGACGGAAAGGTGTGATTGGATGCCGGTCGTTGGCAACGACCGGAAGGCTCTCACACTAGACGTGTTTATCCAGTATGAGCTGGCTGGGGATGTGCCGGCGGAAGACGACAGCAATGATGATGCCAAATGAGGCCTGGAGGACAAAATACTGGAAGTGAACGGCTGCAGCATAAAACAGAGATGCAGCGGTACAGACCAAACAACCTGCAATCCTAATACCACTTCTGCCTGCTCTCACCTCTAACGCTTACCCTCGATCATGAAATAGAAGAACTGACCAGGGTCAATAATGATCATGTCGAATCTTCATAAGTTATGTGCGCGAAACAGTCTCTGTGTTCCCAGAAACTCCATCCCGGTCACTCCTGACATGCGTGTAGGCAAACTGACAGATAATAAATTGTGCCAGGGAAAACAATAGAGCACATTTGGGTCTAGCGTTGTATGTCAGTTGAAGAGTGAGTATTTTTTAGGCCTGACGAGCATCTCCCGCAACTCAAACCTTTCCCCCCTCAGACGATGTGGTAATCACATTGTATCTCGTTACGAAAGGGTTGGAAGCAATTAGGGCAGTAGCTAGTCTGACCAAGACGATGAAGACAAATCGCCAGTCGGAGCAGTACGTCAGGCCATCGATGAAGAGGTGAGGGCGAGGAAGGCAGCCAATCGAATTGGCAAAGCGTAGCTTTAGTAAAGGCTGTGAGGAACGAAGACCGCATCAAGTAGTATTTGAGACGAAGGCGCCAAAGAGGTGGCAGAGAGGACGACGGTGGAGGGCGCAAGGGTGCTCCGAGACCAGCTATACCCGGCCAAGATCAACGGTGCCAATGGGACATGAGTTCCAGATTCATCTGGTAACATTCTGTCAAGTGCAACCGGAGTATTGGGAAAAGAGAACGGGGCAATGCCAGCAAAGATTGCACTTGCTTAGCAATAAGGAGAACGGGAAGGTGTGTGACTTGATGGTGATCCAAGCCGGGTTATGCGCGATGATTGCTTGAAGACAGATACTTTCACTTAGCTGGAGAGTCGGCCAGCATCAACATTTTTGAGCGACGCCAAGGCCCGCCCAATGCTATAACGGCTGGGAGACTGGCCATAAGGCCTTTGCTTGCAGCAAGACACAACGATGCGGCAAGTATACGGAAATGGGTAATCGCTATTGAGACTGCTCTACCCTTGAGCCAAAGTGCGTCCTGTGTGGAGGACTGCACGAGTCGTTCAGTCAAAACTATTGGGTACGATAAACTACATACTACTGATGGGCACTAACCTACGAATCCTCCAGCTTAATGTACATAAAAGCAATGCGGTGTAACATAGCATGATGAACCAAACAGACTTGCAGGACTATGCTGTGCTGGCAGTCGCCGAACTATACGCTCTTTATGTTAGAGATTGGCAGTGATGATGTCAAATAGCTACAGAAACTGGATCAAGTATATACCTATGAAGAGGCACGAGGTACAGTGGCCGATCTGGAGCATTCTCTGGATTCGTAGCTTCCTAGAGGTGGAACAGGTGCCGATACCCTCGGTCGATCTCACGGGGACAAAACTTCGGTGGCCCTGCTGAGAAATCTTGGTGGTAACGGTGTATGCGGGTAAAGGTGAAGAAGCTTTGCGCACCGCTATGAGACACCTATATGCGACCATTATGAGCTTTCGTAGCAGCACGGGGAAGAGAATGGACATCATTCTTGCCCGCGACTTCAACTGGCACGATCAGCTCTGGGGAGGCGATAACGTGACAGGCAGGAGACAGAGTGAGGCAGGGCTGATTATTTATCCCATGGACGAGCATGGCCCGCTCAGTATCCTTCCATGAGGCGCGAAGACATGGGAAGGATCAGGCAGTGAGATTATAATTGCTTGACGCTCGCATCAGCTGAGCTAGCAGACGGTTTGGTCCACTGCGGTTTACATCCGCTCGAGCATGGATTAGATCATAGGACCATCCAGATGGAGTTTGATCTCGCGACGCCCGAGAGGACAACGGAACCAAGATTGTTGTTCAAACATGTGCCCTGGAACGTAATCAGGGAGAGGACGAAGGAAAGCTCTCTCCACTTCCATGGGATGGCGACGTCTAGACCCAAACGAAAAGGCTTATGGGAATTGTTCTCCCTGCGATTCATGAACTGGTCCCGCTTGCAAAGCCATCACCGTTTGCTAAGAGATGGTGGACCATTGACCGCGCCATGCTTCGTAGGACGTACACGTTCTTGAGAGACCTGGCAAGTGCCCGGCGTCGGGCCGGCCAGCGGATCAACAGTCTGGAAGATCGAGCCAAAAAAGCAGCCAAAGAGCATCGCAATGCGATCAAAAGACATAAGAAGGCGCACCGAGATGACTTTCTCGTCGATGGGTCCAATATCTGGCAAACTGCTAAGTCCCTCAAACCTGATAAGAGGCGTATGGTGATAAGGTGCCTCTACTAAAAAGAACTAATGAAACAATGATGAAGGACAAAGTCGAACAGACGGAGGGAGTGCTTCATGTCTTCTTCCCACTGCTACCGATATGCATAGAAGACGAAGGTCCGCGACCGCGGCGCAGAGAAGTGGCCACGCCGAACCTTACGATGAAGGAGTTGGACCAAGAGGTGATGTAGGCCAAGGCTTGGAAGGCGCCTGATTAAGACGGACTTGCGACGATGATGCGGAAGCAGCTCTGGCTGGTGGTGAAGGAGCGGGTATTGTACCTGTTTCACACATCATTGAACACGGGACAACCACTTCGTTAGTGGAGGACGGCCAAGATCATCCCACTCAGGAAACCGAACAAGGGCGACTATAAGATAGCCAAGGCGTGGAGACCGATCTCGCTTCTATCGACGCTGGGCAAGATTCTCGAAGGTGTAGTGGCGGACCGTATATCGCATGCTGTCGAGACGTACACACTCTTACCCACTAATCACTTTGGGGCGAGGGAGCGACGGTAAGCGGAGCAGGCTCTGTTGCTCTTCCAGGAACAGGTTTACAAAGCGTGGCGCGACCAAAAAGTGGTTCGTATGGTCGGTTTCGACGTCAAAAGAGTCTACAACGTGGTGTTCAAGAACAGGCTGCTACAGAGACTCGAGGCACGGGGTATACCCACGGAGCTGTGTGGATCGACGCTTTCTGCTCGAACCGCACGGCTACCATTATGGTGAACGGGTACACCTCCGCGCTACGAGATCTGCCACATGCTGATCACCCGCAAGAATCACAACTATCGCCAATAATGTTCCTTTATTCAATGCAGACCTAGTGCAAAGTAAGACAGACTCAAGCGGAGACAATTGCTTTTGTCGACGACTACTCAGCCTGGGTCACAGGTCCGACGGCGGAAGACAACAGAGAAGGTATTTAGGCCATCATCGATCGTGCACTGGTATGGGAGACATTTGAGTGCGACAAGACGGTCATCGTGCACTTTACCCGTATCGTCGACCGTACCAGTCGTATACCGTTCACGATCAAGGGAGACGTGATCAAGCCGAAACTGAAAGCCAAGATCTTGGGCGTCATCACGGATGCGAGACTGAGGTTCAAGAAGCACATGGCTGAAGCAGTTACCAGAGGTCTCACAGCGGCCATGTGTCTGAAAAGGTTGAAAATGGAATCCGCACGTACGGCTAGACAGCTTTTTACAGCCACTGTTCCTGGGACGATGGACTACGCTTTGGTCGTTTAGTCGCATGCACGAGGCGAGAGAGAGCTGAGGTGGTTCAACAGGGCTCAGAAGATGAGCGCGAGCCATCACGGTCGCTTTCCGGACGGTCTCGATAGTAGTGGCGGAAGTAGAAGCAAGCATATCGACGGTATGCGAGCGGCACGCCCAAGTAGGCATGCGGATGTACGTCAACATCAAGACGCTACCAAAGATGCATCCGTCCGTAGCCCTCAAGGTGTCAACGAATCGAAGATACATGTCGCCGCTGAAGAAGCTGGCGCTTGCACATGAAGGAAGCGGGATGGAGCGGATGAAAATGATTGAGGCATATGCGTTACCGCCATGGCACAATTATGTGTCGTTCATCTACGAGGCCGACCGCGAAGCGGCGCTAACAACGGCGAAGAAGGTCAACGATACTGCCATAGCGACCAGCGCTTTTAGCAGAGAAGGCTTAGTGGGTAAGGGTGGCATGGTAGTCCAAAGATCGTCTGATCAAACAGACAAGATAGTGGCCAGGTACTCAATCACGATCGGGTCGCGAGACGACCAGAACCCATACACAGCCGAGCTGAAAGCAATAGCGATGGCACTACGATATATGCCGGATGGTCTACAGGGTCGAGAGCTCACAGTGCTATAAAGTAGCCAGTTATATGACTTAGAACTAGCAACATAACCAACTTGTTTTAACTTTGGCAAAATCTACTGCGGTTTCCTAAGAGGTCCACTTTGTATCTGTCGATCTCGTTGGATCGCCGGCATTGTGCAGCCAACTTACACACGCCATTTCTGACTTTTTGACTCCCCGTCAGTATCGCCTTCGCTGTTGGTACTGAAGAGTGACTACTTCAGGACACAGCAGCTTGTGCTAGGGAAATATTCTTGCCTCCAGAGACTTGAATCTGTTACATACCTTTGTTTCTTGATATTCAAGTAAAAAGCGTCAATGACACGGACAAACAAATCGTCTGTTCACATGATAGCCCACTGTAATAACGCTATTAAAAGACTATTTACAGTTGACTGCCAAGCGATCATCATCATCAAAGCTTTGCTAAAGGCTATCTCCCTTGGAGATGAAGATTAGAAGGTATGATAAAGGTAAGACAGTACAGCTAAAGCAGCGTTATCAAGAAATTCTAATCGTAGAGCAAGAGGCTCGAAAGGAGAAATCGAGGAAAATTGGCTATAAGTACTGGTATTGTTCTTCTGTGTGATTTGCATCGCTCTGCATACTGGTCGGAGGTCCAAACGACTGTCTTACATTTTATTCTATTATCTGTCGCTAATCATCATGAAAGCACTTCTTAATGATACCTCACTACAGACCATCCTCACAAGAACACAACAGATTAATAACAAGCTTGGCAGTCCCGAAGTGGCGCCGGACTTGCGGATGGACAGAAACCTCGATGAATTGAATCAAATAGTCTATGAGCAGCTGCAAAGTGAAGGCTCCAGATCACAGAGTCCCCTGCAGAATTAGGGGCTAATTATCTGTCACCTCAGAGCGTCCCCCCCTTGTACGACGCACTTTTACGCATCTGGGGGTGGATTGACAAAGAAGTACAAATCCCGCGAGATCCAACTACTCTCTCCAAGGATATCGGTAAGAGGTACCCTTGGTGGGAACACCTTGTTACAAAGGTCCTCGAAGCGGAAGAGGAGGTACTGTGCCTAGCTTGTTAGCCATTGCGTACCGAAGGTAACCTTGTAAGTGATCCTGTGGGATTTATTTACCCTTCATCCATACGGTTTATGGACCGATGGCTGACGTTACTGGCTAGGTATTGAAAGTGGCTGGAGTACCTGCAATAGCACACCCGAGGGTATGAGGAGGGAAGGAGCGTCGGGTATCGAAAGGACTCGGTGTACCAGACAATATGGTATGAGTGATCTTGTGGCAATATTTCCAGGCTACCATATAGCTGCATCAAATGGATCCATATGGCTCCATTTTCTCATCATACTGTGAAGATATCTAGCAGTCAACGCAGACCTCACTGGGGTCGAAATTAAGGCTTTTGACAAACGTGCTGGCTAAAGGACGCTAACACACAACATGATTGTGGCCGCCGTCAGTTTCAATGGCGAAATTATAGGGTATGCTTTCCAAGTCAAGCTTCAGGACCTCAAGGTTAGGAAATCTCGGTAATGCAATCTGAATCTCTGTAGATATTCGCGCAAGATATCGCAGGCATCTGTCTTTCTCCTTGGTCTCTCGGTGGGGAAACCGACAGACTCTCTCTCGTTTGACGCAGAATTCTAGACGGCGGACTAGTTTTCGTAGCACAGGATCCACTGATAGCTTTCCCAGTCGGGTTGCGCCAGTGTCAGGGGCGGACCAGGTCCACTGTGTTCGTTCACTTGGTTGCCGGAGAAGATAACAACGTATTAAAAGAGTACAGGGGTGGCTAATCCGCAGAGCAGACGGTTTACAGCACGCATAGAAATTAGATACTCCCGTCGTTTCAACTCCTTCAACTCATGCTCACCCACGGGCTGGTCATATCCACCAAAACGATGTCTTTTGAAGCCATCGTGCAAGTGCTTCAGGATCTGCGTCTTGTCAGTAGGCTCGAAGGAAATCCAGAGGTAACATCATACCTCGCACAGAACTTCGCGTGGTAATTTTTCAAGAGAAGGCATTATCACTCGGCTTATCAAAGGTAGTGAAGAAGAGAAGTCATCGCGAAATGGACGCATGGTAATATGTAGTCTAGTGGCTTATCGGATCCCGTTTCATATTTTTCCAGCGCCGTTGATTGGTCTACGTCGTTTACCGCATAACTCTAAGTCATGGGACCGGGATCTCGTCACCCCGCTTTCAGCCGCAACACCATAATCTTCATCAATTGGATTCAGGTCCACCAATTCCAAAAAGGCCCTTTCGTGTTGCGGCTGCTCGGCTTTAGGCTTTGCAAGGTGGAAGTTCTGTTACTGGCCTCGAGGATAACGGCAAGCTGTAGACGTCTGCAGTGTTGAGAAGGATGTCGAGAGGAGGTCGATCTGTAACAAATGGACGATTCCAAAGCAATGGACAAGCCTTATTCTACCAAATACTTTCGATTATTGCCCAACCCGCTCCAGTTCATCGTCTCACCTCGTCTCGCGTCTTTTTCTTGGAAGATCGGTATCGTTTTCATCGCTGATAAGACCTCATCTTAGGCCCGGGTGCACGGGCGCTGCACCGCCGATCTCAAGAGCCTTGGTAGGAAAATGGCTTCTTGATTAGATATATTGCGTTTGATGCCAAGAACGATCGCTGTGGCAATGCTGAACACATAGCCAGAATCGTGCGTAAAGACACATCGGCATTGATTCCACGTCAACATATCTATCTGGCATCTCCTATAGAACCACGACATGGCTGATTTCGTGTACAACAAGAGTCTGGTCAATAATCCTTGCTAACGACGAGAGACTAATACAAGGCTGCGCCGGAAGAGCACAGCTGGTTCTTGCGCGCGCCAAAGCCGCATCGCGCGTACGGGGAAACCTACCCGATAGGCTAAAGGGAACGGGAAGTCCACCGACCTACTGTAAAGGGTCCCACTTTCAAACTCTCAGGGTTTCAGATGCGCATTTGGATAGCCTTGTCTATGGAACAGTTGAAATTGGTGGCTGTGTCGTTTTGACTGCCTGGCTAGGCGCTTAATGCGTAGCACACGCAGCACATATATCCAGCGATGTCAGAAAGCGTAGGTTTCCGTGCTTCTCAGATTCCTTCCTGCCCTCCATTTCACCGTTCTCGCTGATTTATGTTGACTATTCTCTCTCCTCATTACATCATGGCGACAGTCAGACTCGATGTTACACTTGAACTGCTTCCAGTGTTCGATACTTTTTGTGTTAGCAGACCGTATAAGCGCTCTTGGTCCCGGTGTGTGAGAACATTGGGGCCTTCAAGCTGTACCCCGAGGCTATGTCCCTTTCAAGCTGAGCAATCTTCTGAACAGCGCGGCCTTGCGATATTTACTACAAGGCATAGCAGGGATCGGTATCTAAACAGGAATGAAGCTCGAAAAGACCGACTTGGTCAGAAAAGAACGACTTCTCTAATACGGCGAAGGCAAGGCCGACTGATAAAGAAGTCGAATGGGAGAAGTTGCGGTCAGATCACAATATGAGCCTGAGCTGAATAACCACCGCCTCCATTTACTCCCCCATATATCGACTGTTGAGTCTGTTGGTGCTCTGATCGCTTCAAGCAAGCCACAAGAAGGTACAACAACGACTTTGAGGTCCTTGATAGGAACCGCCGTGGGCGCCGACCAAGCTGCTATCTAGGCAGCCTCAGAGCCAGAGATGCTCTGAGGTGGTGTCGTCATCAGGGAGGCGGGGCCCATTGAAGCATCAGGAGAGTACGAGTACATGCCAAAAGAGTTTGATGGTATTGACAAGCCTATTGATCCGCGACGTGCCATGTTCATGTCCATCTTGTGCTCGTACTCGAAGCCGGGTTGCTCTCGCTTCATGGGAGTGTTAGGGAGAGAGTCCAAGATTGAGTTGTGCTCAGGTTCAGGCTTGACGGGGCCCATTGCTGATGAGGGAGGGGTCAACTCTGCCCCCGGATAAGAGACAGAGGTGTGAGGGCCATTATAGTCCGTCTTGCAGACTTCATAAGGTGTAGATCGTCGAGATGTAGGAGTTTTAGTGTCGTATGCTAATGAGGCGGAGGAGAAGCTTATGGTGGTGGTGGTGGTGGAAGGGCAGGACAGGAGGCTGCGAAATTCGTCCATATCGAACCAACGTCGAAACAAAAGAGTAGGCCTATAGTTTTCAGCCTCAGGGCCCAAATCAACATTATCTACCAAGTCAATTTCTTGACTTCAGACCGTTTCCAACTTCTCATATTTACATTCATAACCCTGTTCTCCAAGTAGCCATTAGAGAGCCTCCTGCAATCAGATGTCCGATGTAGGTTGAAAATCAATAGTTGACCGAGAATAAGACTCAGCTTTTCGCGGTCTGTGTGACGCAGATGCCTTTTCATTTGGAGGACAGCAGCGTGATGTGATACCATGACAGTATTACCTCAACGCGCATCGCACCTCGCACCAGAACTCATTACGTCAGTTCTGAGCCACTGCATAGACTCGGCGCCTGTTGGGTTAATTGGCCACCTTGCAATTTGTCAAATAGCTGCTGCAGCGCAGCCTGATTTCCAAAACTGTCAGGACACGCGGCACATTTGGTGCCCATTTATTTCTCCCTGTAGAGGACTCGCAAACCGCATTCCACAGCTAGTCCTTTGAGGACCTGGTGCTAAATTCTTATTTACTGTAGAATGCCTTGCTTCTTCTCCGCATTAAACCAACCCTACGAAAAGGGCCGCTTCCACACGACTTTAAGAACCCGCAAGAATCACTCAACTCCCCCTTATGAAGGCCAAAGAGTTTTCAGAAGTCACGCGTTTCACAAGACATTTGCAAAAAATTGTAATGATTTAGCTACTTCGCGATCCCGTACGGCGATGCCAAATCCTGGAACACCACGCTCACATTAAGGATATCCTCTGAGAATCCCCTGCTGGCTCGACGCGCAACGCACGCATTCTTGCGTTCTCTTTCTTCTGACCTCTGTTTGCGTTTATTTGGCACTAATTGAGCCAATGGAAGTCTGGGTGGCTCCACGAGTGATGCCATCTCAAAATCAATCATCATAACGCTATTGACTTCCCGATTAAAAAGCATGTTTTCTAACCGACCATCCCTATGAATCACTCCCTTTTGATGCATGGCTCGTAATGATGCGACGGCCATGTTCTCGAGATTCTTTGGTGCGTCGCTAGACTCCCATGCGTCGATGAGACCGTCTCCGCCCCAGGACAGTAATGCCATATGCACCACATATACTCGGTGGAAGTAGTAGTAGATCTTGTTTATCGATCGAAGGTCTATTGCGCCTAGAAACACAGGCACGTTGCGGCCTTGAAGTGGGCTCAGGCGGTCATATACCGCAGCCTCATGTGTCAGGTCGCTTACAAAAGCCCGCACCGTGCCCTTGCTAATGAATGTGTAGCCATAGGCGAGTAGAGTAACTTTAAAAAGAACGCCGCGACTGCCACCTTGTCTCAGTCGCGTGATTCCTTCGTCTAGCGATCGCTCTAGCTGTTCCTGGAGAAGCGCAAGCCATTTGCTATGACTGACGGGATGACATGTTTGTGTAGGGCGGTTACTGCAATGGAGAGCAATATTCGGACATTTAGGATCAAGACAATCTCCCCGTACCAGACCGAGAAGGCATTTTTGAGTACAATACTGGCGGCCTTGTTGGTGACTATCTCCACGGGGCCGGCTTGCCAGTCGCTGGCTCCGCCGACTCGCTTGTCCTGTACTCCGTCCCGCTGGAGTTGGAGTATCCGGCGGCCTAGTCGATTCATCATCGGAGGGTTCTCGCCTATCGTCCCTTCTCGATAATATCTCGTCGATTTGCGGCTCAGAAGCTCGCCGTCTTCTTCTGCACAAGAGGTACGGCGATCGCTCGACTCCGTTGTAAGTGGTTGGTTGGTAATCGGGTGAATGCTCCGATGATGCCGATCGTTCGTTTTCAGGGATCGAGCGTAATGTTGTCTCGAAATCTTCTGCCCATGTCTTCAGGTTGTTCATTACCCTTCGACGTTCCTCCTGTCCATGTTCGTGTTGCTCTCCAGGTGAACCAAGTGCCATCAGTGTGAAGGCCAGGTATTGGCCGACAGCCGTCCACATGTGAGAGTTATCTGGATGCGCAGACACTTCGTATTTGGGTTCAGCTAGATGATAAAGAAGAGTTTCAGGCTCATTCCAGTCAATCTTTAGGAAGACGGTAGCTTCACCGATGGTCAGGTTGCCGTATTCAAGACCGCTCTCAATCATATAGTGATACGTCTGCGTGATGGCAGACGCAGTCAGTCTCTCTGCATGGTATCGAAACAGCGCGTCCGGGTCCTTAGGTGTCGGGATGGTCTTGCGATTCACCACTTCCTTGTAAATATCCATCTTGCGGAGACCGATCCGCAGATGTTGAGCAGTCAATTTACAGGGTGACTTGTATTCGGAAATATATACCATCGTGTTTGGTGCAGATGGTTCGTTGCTAGATCGGGTGACACATATCTGATCTGGTCGTAGTTGGTTGAGATCTCGTCCATGATCCGGCGTCCGAGGCGTTGCTGGGCTCTCTCTTTCAACCACCTCCTCGGCAGTGTCGCCAAGAGCATGGGGGTGATTCTCAAATACAATGCCATCTCCAATTTCGAAGACTGCCGTAACCTGCTCAACCTCTCCGAGTTTGCGTATGATGACCCTAACGGGATCCTCAACACTGTTATGTAAGAAGTACTCGAGCGACTTTTCGTCTGCGATCCGCCGTTGGGAGACTCTATCGCCCAGCCCGGCCAAGAAAGCACGGTTCTCGAAAACACGGCTATCGATCGGGAATGAATCGTTCAGTCTGCCAAAGGTGAGCCTTTGTTCGTTGATAAACTCGTCCCAAGGCTGTAGGCTTTTGGGGCACCATTTGTTCCGAGGGTTGGTGATGGAGCCCCTTGAGGACAGTTTCGGATCTGTTTCGATGGTGAATTTAGAGAAGACGGACGTATGGGAAGCGGTCATGTATTCTTCAATTGTCGTGGGTCGTACCGCTTCTTCCGATGCATCGGCGCGTCGTCGCTCCTCTTGCCGTTCTCTCTCGGCTTGCTCGGCGCGTCGTCGTTCCTCTTTTGTCCTCTCACTGCATTATCGGCACCATTCTGCTGTGCTTATCGAGTTCTTCATCTGGGTCGGGAGACAGTGTTTTCGTAGTCTAGGGAGCTGGTTTCGCTCTGCCACCGCGTATTAGTGATCGTGCAAACTCCCATTTGCGTGCCCCTACGATGTCAAACGCTTCCCGCGTAAGAAACAAGAGATCCATCTCCGCAACAGACTCCTCGTCGTTGGTATGCACTTTGTCTCAAAGTGTTGTTGGTTCAAGCACATGAATGGTATGCTTTTATTTGGCCCCCATACTAAAGTATTTTCTGAGTATGTACAGAGTACTACCGCGTACGTGCCCCGACCAAAAGACCAAAAAGACGCATTTGTCGGCGGCATCCATGCAGCTATACCTTTCCAGGACTAGGAGGCGACAAAGGTCTTGGCCATGATGGAATGGCCCGTTTAGGCAAGCCCGGATGGGTTGGGTCGGGCGGTCTCGAAGTACCACTCAGCCCCAGGTACTCCCCAACCTCTAGCAAGCACGCGGCCGGCACTCTGACCGGTGAAAACGGTGAATTGGCAAAACGGCCTCCACCATGCCATCTCGACATTACGACTACAATTTAGGCTGCCACCCCCACGTTCTTACCAACTTGGAGATATTATCTAGATACAGGATGTTAAGTCTTCAGGCCTAATTGACAACCTTGTAACATAAAATAGGTACTCCGTATATTTACTAATTAACTAATATCCCTGTATTTAAAAATTAGTTTTTTATGGTAGCACCCCGTCCTGATGGATATTCGACCACATCGCCAGAGGACCATGCAATCATCAGTCCCGCCGCAGGCTAATGCTCCTGTACCTGATCCGCCGTTTGTTAGCAACGATCTGGATGCACCATGTCTGTCTGATCAAGATCAACAGCACATTGCCAACTGGCAAGCAGATATGGAGTATTGTCCACGATGCAGAACCCGCTGGCTCAACCAGAGAATGCAAAATGGCATCTGCCATTCCTGTCACTATCGTGATGTGATTCCTCGCGGTCGTGCTACTCGTAACCAACGACAAGAAGAAGGCGAACCATACTTCTGGTCTCGGGATAACAATCTTGATCCCGGCGACATTCCTCTTGAGTTGCCAGAGCTGACTCAAGTCGAGGAAATGCTTATCTCTCGGGTTCACGTTCATGTTCAGGTTGTGGCATACCGTGGACAACAGTACAAGTACAAAGGTCATGTCGTCAACTTTCTCAAGGACGTCGGTCAGGTCTATCGCCAACTTCCATTATTACCAAGAGAGCTTGATGTTATTGTGCTTCGTCCTCGAAACCAAACCGCCCAGCCGCACATGATCCGCCAATTCCGAGGACAATTCCGAGTTCGCCAAGGCCACATCCGCCAGTGGCTCGAGTTCCTACGTGCCAATCATCCAGGCTATCGCGAGATTGTCATCGATGAAGAGCATCTCAATCACTTACCACAGGATGGCGATGTCACCGATCAGCTCATTACTGAGCTTATTGACCTAGTTGAGATTGAAGAATTCCTTCAGGATGATATAGATGAAGTATTAGGAGATCCCAACCTGTGGGAAGCTGCAGCTGTACCCAACTTCATCGCTCAGGAGCGTGATCTTACCTACTTGCTCTCCGAGGTGGGCATCAGACAACCGACTTGCCTCTTGAGTCAGCGCCTGGTCACGAACCGCAGCTGGAGATGCCTCATATTCGGAGCACACCTCTCAATGAGTTCAATCGTTCTCAGGCTCTGCTGTCGTTGGCCTTTCCTACACTATTTCCTACAGGCGAAGGTGACTTCATCGAACCGCGACAGCGAAGCGTTACATACTCTGACTATATTGAACGTCTGATGAAGTTCCACGATGGGCGTTTCGCTAGGCATCCTCGCTTTCCATATGTTGCCTTAACACCTTGATGAGGCAGCAAGTCAATCAACGCAGTTCATTCTACGTCAAGAAAGATGGAACTCGCGCTGAGATCGATATCGCACAACTACGTGCCGCTTTTGACTCAGATACTCCAGAGGCCAAGACCCTTCTTAACTCTATCGTACGTTACTCTGATAGCCTTCGTGGCACACGTCCCTTCTGGGGTGGTCGACGCCATCAGCTGGAAGCATATGTTCAGGGACTTGGATGGCTTTAACTTTTAAATATAAACTCTCTTTTCTATATAAAATCTTTTATTTTATATACTTAACGTTAAGAGAATTCTTTAAGTAATTTTTTATGTATAAACTTTGGATACTACCTATAATATAAAAGCCTACTTATAGATTAATAGTAACTATATCTAAAAATATAATAACATTAAAGATCTAAAAGCTATATTTAATATTTGATATATTAAAATATATATCTATTAAAATAAGATATTTAGCCTTTATACCTCTCTATTAAGCCACCTTTATAGTAAAAGCTTTAAATTATATAATATAAAAGCTTATATTTAAAAATAATTAAGCTAAATAATTAATTATCTATTTTACTAATTATAGTTAATTATAGTTAATTATTAATAATTAATTAACTTTACTTTTACTTTTAGCTTTAGCTTTATAAAGTATAGTCTTTATTAAAGCTTTAATATATTTATTATAAATATTTTAAAGGTAGCTATAATTAACTAAAATATAATTAATTAATACTATTACGGGCTTAGGCTTTACATAAGCCTCTATAAAGCTATATAACTTAAAGGTCTAATTTAAATCTAGGCCAGAATCTATTAATATATAAAAAGAGTTCTTTAAGGCATTAAGGTTATTTTAAAAGTTTATATAAATCTATTTCGATTAAACTTATATATTATTAAGGATAGCCATTATACTATAGGCTATTAATTCTTAAAGAGATTATTATATTAGGCCTTAATTAAGGCCTATAAGGTATTCTTCATTTATTTTTATATTTATATTTTAATTTTCTTATAGTAAGTAATAGCTAAAAAGTTATAAATATTTTAGGCTATAAAAAAGTTTAATAAGTATTATAGACTGGCTTTTTAGCTATAACTACAAGTATATTAAAGAAAGAAAAGAGATCAAATTTAAGTAATAATATTAAAGTTATTATAAAGATTAATAATAAGACTTAAATATATAAAATAATAAAAAGTATTAATAATAGCCTAAAGGCTATGTATTTTTTATTATTTTCCTTTAAGTATAAAACCTATAATTTATAGGCTTAATATATATATATTTAAGGGTATCTTAATAAGGCTATACAGAATAGTTTAATAGTTTATATAAATAAAATGCTATAAAAATAACCTTTTATTACTATAACATTTAACTTTACTATAAAAAGCTAATAAAAGTATCTATAAAATAAAGAGATATTAATAAGTTTATAACTCTATTATAATTATACTTAACTAAAGATAGCTACCTAAAAAGAGGGAGATGTGACGGTTGTGGTTTCAAACAGGGAAACTAGTCCGTACTAGGTTTATGTTTGCAGAAACGTAGGGCGTGTATACTGAGCTTGGCTTGGGTGTCACGTCTCTTGATGATCAAGTAATGCGTCTTAGGCTTATTGATGTAAAGAAGTCTTATTGATAGCTGGTGAGCTAAGTTCTATCTAATGCTAAATGAACGTGTTTATATACTGAGGTGTATGTGAGTCGAACGAGGTCGGTTCGACTCTGTTCGTGTCTGTTCGTCATGCGAGTCGAATGGCGTGCGTTCGACTGATACAGGTTAGGTGGCTCCTGATTGGGCGAGAAATAGTGGGGTGCATGCGCACGTGCGCAAGACTGCGTTGGGTCGTAACAGGAGATAATTATAATAATAACTTAATAATAAATAATATAAACTATATTTATAAGGCCTTAAAAGGCCTAATAGATATAATATTAAAATATAGTAAGTATATTAGCCAGTTTAAATAGTATAACTATATACTTAAAATAACTATATCTAGTTTTAAATGCAGTTTTCTATTTATCTCCCTTTTAGATATAAATTTAGTAATATATATTTAAATCTTATTAATAACCTCTATAATAACTTTAATATTATTACTTTTTTAACTGCCTTTTTAGGCCTAAATTTAGCTAGCTATAAAGAGTAGCTAGAAAATATAATTATTAAGGCTAAATATATACTTAACTTTCTCCTGCTTATATAAAGGTTAATAGGCTAGTTATAATTTAAGACTATAAAAGTAAAGCTAAAATAAATATAAGGTAATAATAGGGTTTAAAGGTTTAAAGGAATTAGGTTAACTTTTATATAGGTTAGTTAGTAAAAGCTAATTTAACCTAAAGTTAATAATAAATCTATTAATTAAATATATATATTAAGGTATATAACTAATTAAGTTTATATTTAAGAATAAATAAAGTAATATAAATAAAGAAACAGTAAGTTAAACTAAAGTTAATACTTTAATAAAAAGTTCTATTTAATAGTAATTATTATTTTATAAATCTCTTTTAATTTATTTTTATTAACTATATTTAAAGCAGGCTTAATTGCTATATTAAGTTAATATTATTTAGATTAATTAATATATTTACTATATTCTAATATTATATCTATTAGGCCCTTTAAGGCTTTATAAGAATAATTAATATTATTTATTTTAATAATATTTTAATATTTTTTAAAATTAAAGAAAAATATATAAATTACTTTATATAAATTTTAAAATAAATAAAGGCTATTAAATTATATATAGAACCTTTTAAATATTTTTCTATTAAAATTAAATTAAATTTTTAAGATTTATTATAATTATTAAAAAAATAAGAATAAACCTAATTAAAATTTAAATTATTATTAAATAGTTTAAACTAATAATATATAAAGAAATATAAATATTTTTAAGATTTTATAATTTTTATTAAAGGTTTATCTATAATTACTTCAGGGTTATAGCTTTTTTAACGTTGATTTAAATTATTACTTTTCTATTAATATTACTTTATTTATTCTTAAATATAAAGGTCATTAATTATATACCTTAATATATATATATTAATAGATTTAATTATTATAGACTTTAGGTTAACTTAATATAATAAAGTTATTAAAATTATAAATATATTATATAAAAATATTAAATTTAAAAGTCTTTATATATTTCTTTTTAAATATTTAATAAGAAGTTCTGTTTAATAGTAGCTACTATTATATAAAGCTCTTTTAGTTTATCTTTATTAACTATACTTAAAGTAGGCCTAATAGCTATATTAAGGTTATAGCCAGTTATATAATAGTTATAATTATATAGCTATAGGCTATTTCTAGGTATTACATTAGTGGCTATAATTAATATTAATAACTGTAATTAATAGAGAAAGTTAGGTTAGGGAATGTACTTTATAATAGACTTAGACTAGTACTTTCTATTGATACTAACCTTTATTAAGGTAAAAAGGTCAATTTAAGATCTTTTAGGTATAGTAAAGGAAGAAGGCTAATATAGCTGCTAAGAGGCAGTATTAATACTGCTTAATTAAGGCAGCAATTGCGCCATTAAGGCAGATAAACCTTATATAATTTTAACCTTAAAGATATAGGCCTACTATAGGGGCCTTATTATTTAAGCCTTTATATAGAAAGTTAATAGCTCAATAGCCTTATTAGGCTAATAATAAGGAAGAAAAAAAAGGATATTAATTAAAGATTAACCTATATCTTTAATTATATTTAATTTTTTAATCTTTTTATTTAGTTTATTCTTTTAGATTTAAGGCAATTTCTTAAATAATAACCTTTTTTATAATAATTATAATATTCTATAGAACTTAAGTCCTTTTTCTTTTCTTTTAAGTTAATAATAAAAAAGTAATTTAAGTTACTTTTTTAAGCTTATTAATATAAATATAGTTTAAGCAGTTTTTAAAGTTAATAAGTTTTTTTTCTTAATAATAAAGAATTTAATAGGTTTTCTATATATTTATTCTTTTAATTTTAAGTATTTTAAAGTAATTATATTAATTAAATAAGTTTTTCTTTAATGTTAAGGAAATTAATATTTCTTTAAAAGGCTATAATATCTTAAAGTATAAATAAAAGTTTAATATAATATTAATAAATTCTTATAGCTATATTAAGCTTATAAAAAGATAATCTTTAATAGAAATAAAATACTTATAGAAGTCTTAAAGGGATTAATTAAATTATTATTTAATACTTTTTAATTATATAACTATAAATACTTACTAATTCTTTTTATTTTTCATAAAAATAAAAAAATATTTTTTAAATACTTTTTAATTTCTTTTTAAAAAAGAATTTTCTCTTTTATTTATTTATTTAAATAGCCTAATTATATAAACCTAATATTTAATATTATATTATCATAGGTAAATAAGATATAACTTTTGTTAATATAATATTATTTTTAAATAGTTTTAAAGCTTTAATTTATATTATTTAATTATTTAATTTATTTTTAAAAGATAATTAAATATTTAAAGGTAATAATACTTTTAACTCTTACTTTTTTATTATTACTAAAAGTAAAGCTATTTCTTAATTAATATTGCCTTAATAAGGTAGCCTAATACATTATTCTTTAAAGGTCTTTTTTTTATATAAAGATTAATTTATAGTTTTATTAAAAATTACTATAAATAATCTTAATATTTCTTAAGATTATATATTTAAATTAAACTTCTAGCCTATAATATCTATATTACTTAATAATAAAGTTAAACTATCTTTAATACCTAAGAATATCTTATTTACCTTTAAAAAGAAATGTAGGATTTTTAATTAAAAGATAATAGTAATTATAGAGTTATTTAAGTATTAATAATATTACCTTAAAGGCTCTTTACGATAAATAAAATTCTTAAGTAATTATTAAAATCTTTAATTATTTATAAAGAATAATAAATTAAATAAAAAATAAATATAATAGTATTTATTTTTAATAATTTATAACTTTATAATTAAGT